GTGATGGTTCGCGCTTTCAGTTTTGCGCGAATGCTGCCATTTATCCACGGTTTCAAGTTTGGGTAGGTTTTAATAGTCACAGTGGGTACAGTCGCTCTGGATAAGAGCGTCTGCTAAATGACTAAAATGTAATTCGTTAGTTAAGTGAAAAAAATACAAAACAATATTTAAGAAATTATTTTGTTCAAAACTGTTCAACTATTGTCTTTCTCTTTGAGTCAACTACTCACAACATTTTATGCACTGCAGTGCTAGCTAGCTGTAGCGTATGCTTTCAGTACTAGATTAATTCTCTGATCTTTTGATTGGGTGGACAACATGTCAATTCATGCTGCAAGAGCTCTGATAGGTTGGAGGATGTCCTCCAGAAGTTGTCATAATTACTGTGTAAGTATATGGAAGGGGGTGAGAACCAAGAGTTTCCTAGGTTTTGTATTAAAGTCAATGTACCCTGAGGAGGACGGAAATGAGTTGTCCTCCGGCTACACCATGGTGCTACCCTACAAAGTGCTGTTGAGGATACTGTAGACCTTCATTGCAAAACAGTGTGTTTTAATCAATTATTTGGTGACGTGACTATATTTAGTATTGTTTTATCTAAAAAGGATAACTTTTTAATGTTTCACTATTTTAATTTTTTATGAAATTCACTGTGGAGGATGGTCCTCCCCTTCCTCTGAGGAGCCTCCACATTAGCAAAATGCTCTCCTAACCTGCTATGAAAATCACTTTGTATCGAAGTGGCGTGAAAAGAGTGTGCCCCTGTAGGACATAGCAGAGACTGTAGGGGCAGTATACCATTGGAATTTTCCACTGTGCTTCATCACATGTTGACTCCAAAATGCTTCTCACAGTTGTGTCAAGTTAGCTGGATGTCCTTTGGGTGGTGGACCATTCTTGAAACACACGGGAAACTATGCGTGAAAAACCCAGCAGCATTGCAGTTCTTGACACAAACCGGTGCGCTGGCACCTACTACCATACCCTGTTCAAAGGTACTTAAATATTTTGTCTTGCCGAAACACCCTCTGAATGGCACACATACACAATCCATGTCTCAATTGTCTCAAGGCTTAAAGATCCTTCTTTAACCTGTCTACTCCCCTTCATCTACACAGATTTAAGTGGATTTAACAAGTGACATCAATAAGGGATCATAGCTTCCACCAGGATTTACCAGGTCAGTCTATGACATGGAAAGAGCAGGTGTTCTTAATTTTTTGTATGTTTAGTTTAAGCAGAACGTAACTCGTCATTTTATGATATGATTTTTTCCTGAGATATTAGTTATTACATGTTTATTACATGTCAATTAGTGTGGTTAATGGTTTATTTAGCTGTTCTAGGCCAGTCATTTATTCTCATCTTCTTTGCAGTGAAGTTATTCTGCCTCTGAGGCAGTCATATATTTAATGTGATATCCAATGCTTCACTGTGGCATCGGAGACTGAGACAAGAACATGCAGCTCGGTAATGCTACAGGTATGAGCCCTAGTGGAATTCACTTTACCTTCTAAAATAAGCCGGAGAGCTTTGAATTGTGTGAATTTTGCCATTAATTATGAAACCCATCGACTGTTACCCACAGAATGTGGCCCCTTCCAACCTAAAGTCACTTTGAAGGAGAGTGATTGCAGACTATGAAGAACAGTAATTGCAGAAGTTACCTCAATACCTTTTGAGACATTTTGAGTTGGATAGTTACTGTGAAGTTGCCTGTACTGAATAGGCACTCAAATGATCACTGGAACATGATGTAGCCCAAGTTTGTTTTTCTGTATCTCTTTAAATGATGTGGCTCGTGAAATACCTGCTTCCCGGGTTAGTCCACCACAGCCATGGTTGGGTTGAATAGGTTTTAGGAGGACCATATCACTGGCATATCAGTTTTACCTGTATTTCTCAAAGTGCTGTGTAGAATATACAAAATGGGGGGAAAGTGGGGATCATGCTCTTAACTGGCGCTCTGACTCTCAGTGCAGAAGGGATCCTCATTTCTTGTCTGTGAAAGATATTAGGGTCACATCCTGCGAACAGGTTGGTTCTGCGTTTGTTGTCAAGGTTTCATGGTTTACTTTATTATGCCTATTATTTTCCAATTCTGTCAGTACATGCTCTACCATTTGAGGTCAGGGCACCAGGGAGTCATTGGCTGATAATAACCCAGATTGAAAATAAACTGGCTGAGGTGTGAGTTTATACCCTGTTGAGTTGGTCTGCCTGGTAATGCTCAGGACAGATGATGTAATGTGATCTGGCATTAGAAGACCCTATATAAGAGGCCTCTGCCCCAATAACTACGACTCTGATCTCACTCAGAGTCTTAGTTATTGTGGCAGAGGCCTCTTCTATAGGATATCATAAAAAGATCATATGAGTAGCAGTTGCGTCTTTTTTGTTACGTGTATTGTAGAATATTTGGATCCTGTGTGCTTATTCACCACTGGTGAGTTGGTAGTATTGTATTGTCATTAGTTGTCTACTTTATTTAAACACCTCTTTAAATGTGTACATGTTACTGCAACAAAATTTCCCCAGCGGGACAATAAAGTCAGCAAAGTAAAGGTAGGAAACGTCATGTAGTACAGTAAAAACATAAAAGGTCTAGTCTAAGTGTGTCACGACTTCGGCCGAGGCTGCCTCCCCTCCTTGTTCGGGCAGGCTTTGGCGTTCGTCGTCACCGGCTTACTAACCACTGCCGCCCCAATCATCATCACATTTGTCTTGTCTTGTTAATCACACACACCTGGTTCTTATCCCCTCATTAGTCCGTGTATAAGTGTTCCCTCTGCCCCCTTGTCCTTGTGGGTGATCGTTAGTTGTGAGAGTAGTATAGCTCGGTGGAGCTACTCGTACATTTTGTTGCCAGGGTAGATTTTCCCCTGTGCCTATGTATTATTGGATTCTACCGTTACAGTGTATTTGCCAGGGATTAGAGTTTCCCCTGTGCCTGTTTCGTTGATCGCTATTTGAGCGCATTTATGCGTCAACGAAGGAATAAACTCTGTATTTGGTGATTACCCTCCTGCGCCTGACTCGTTTCATCACACTCATCACAAAGTGCACTGTGAGTCTCACATGGTCAAGGATGTGGTTATAAATTTGCATCATCTCCAATGTTGTTCAAGTTTAAATCCCTGACATTTGAGCATGACTAAAGTGTGACTTGAGTGTGAGGCAGGGGTTGATTGGCCATAAGATATACGTTTTTAGTAGGGTGGAAAGGGAAATGGTCGGCGGCTCATGGGCCTGTTAAGAATATTTATTTTGGGGGGAGTTTTGCATTATTTTTCTGTTGCACTAATCTGTAATGAGCTGATCAGTGTTCTGATTGTATAACATTTCAAAATGCAATTGTGGGAAAAAACTGCTTTGGAAGCTTCGTCCCCTTGTCCCTATCGAAGAGAGGGGGGTCTCAGCTTTCTGTAGGTATAATTTGTATTTCTCAACTCTTGAGTTGGTGGCCTGTGCAGCGATGTAGGCTGGTGTGGATAAAATGCCAGAGCCTTGTCCCGGTCTGTCCCTGGGCAGGAGGGTAACAAATCTGGGTCACAAAACATCCGTGTGAGTTCATGAGATCCATTCCTGTTATACAAATAGTTACCTCTAAAACTAGGCCTCCAAGGGCAATGCATTTCATGCATCTTATGAAATAACATGAGCTACAGTGGACAGAGAATCACACGTTACATGTTTGTGGGAAGATAATTAGATCAACAAGGAACATTCAAATTCTATTTTTGAGGCAAGACACAGCTCATTAAAAAACTCCCTGCGAGGTGATGTTATTAACTCAAAGTTGTCAAGAGGTGTGACACCTTGAGGAATGTATCCAACGATATACCAGTTAGAGTTAAGGGTGTCAACCTGTTGGCCATGGCGGGCAGGCTCAAGGTATGAAGTTGATCTCTATTGAAATGTTCTACAGTAGACAGCGTTAATGCGGTTGGTTTGTAACTTGATTGCTGCAACGTCTTACTTTTTCCTGACTCATCAACCACCATCGGCATGACTGCTCAAACTGGACAGACATGTTGTTATTTTTAGAGTTGTGGTGAGTGAATTTTTGCTTGTAAGGTGCTACGTGTGATAAAGACATTATTTCTTATCTCAGTCTGGCCTTCGTACAAACAGCAAAGAAACTGGTCCAGTTTCTCTAACTTTCTCAGTAAACCAAGTACCCACAGACTTTCTTCCTTAGTTTTAAGGGATGGTTCATTCACTTGAGAGAAGTAGAGGCGTACTTATGTTTTGAACCACAACATGCTGCTTCCTGGCATTGGGTTTGCCCTGTCTATTCTTATTGGTAATCCATCCTTTGCGCTAGACGTTTGTCCCTCATGGCGTGTGTATGTCATGTGCTGAAATAAACTGTGCACTTCCCACTGTACCTAAACACTAGCAGTAGAGGATCTCCAATTCAATTTAGCTTGAGAGCTATCTATGAGATACCAGGAGGTACTGTAACCTGAGTTGGAAGGAGGAGTTTTATTGGAAAAGGAAAACTCACCAAAGATGAAATCCCACGTGTGGAGGGCTTTCAGTGATAAATACAAGAACATACAGGCAAATCTCAGCACTGGCAGAGTCAATCAGGCATGAAAGGTTTGGGTATGACTGGAGCACTGCAACGCCACTCTCTACATTTAAACTGCAACTCAAATGCAACTCCACTCAAACAACAAGAGTAATAAGCGTTAATCATCACCTTAGCCACTACAGCGCACACAAAACACACTCCTGTACCTACCTGGAGCTTTGTGGTGGAGAGGAACATCAGAAGGGGTGGAAGAGAAAGACAGGTAAATAACGAGACGTTAACTTGTTACAGATACAGACCACCCACAAAGGAGGAACACCTGTTCCTCTCTTCAGCTGTTAAATGCTACAAAGAGCTGAAAGGCAGAAGGAGCATGAGCTTGCAGGGAGAAATACAACACGACTAGGTGGATGGCAATGCAAAGGCTAATGAGGCCGGGACAGATGTGTCCACTGGTCTGATGCGGGAGAGGGCGAGACTAGGAGAACAGTGGCATCGTCTGCCCCTGTGGGACAGAAGGGTGGACCTAGAGGCCCCTGTCTATGACACCACCTGCCTGGTCCCCCAGCCCCAGACCAAGCTGTACAAGCGGTGCTGGATCATGCTCTTCATCTGTAGTGCATACTCCATGAGCAACTCCTTCATGTGGCTACAGTATGGCATCATCAGCAACATCTTCATGCGCTTCTACTCCATCGACAGCTTCTCCAACAACTGCCTCTCTATGATCTACTTTCTCATCTACTTCCCCCTCATGTGGCTACCTGGACAACCGTGGCCTCCGGGATGTGGTCTGGATGGGCTTAGCCTTCAACTGCATCGGGGCCTGGATCAAGACGGGAACGACCTCCCCAAACATGTTTGCTGTCACCTTCTTTGGCCAGTTTGTGTGCTCTTCGGCCATGATGAAGTCTCCACAGCTTGCTCAATTGGAGTCCTTGGAAAACCAGGTGTGTCCACGTTTACCCATAAAGTTCAGATGCTCTTGGCCATTCAGGTGTGTGTGCAAATGTGTGTTTACATACTGTAGATATAAGGAGTGTGTGTGTTTGTGTGTGTGTGTGTGTGTGTGTGTGTGTATGTGTGCGTGCGTGCATGCGTTTGTGTGCGTGTTTGTTTGTTTGTGTCAGTGAGAGTCTCATCTCTAATATGGTTTTCAGATCCATTTTGAGTGATGAAAATAAATAATTGTTGAGTTTAAACAGTCTATATCGTTTTCTTGAACGACTTACTTGTTCTGTCTGAAGAGCCTGTGTTCTTGAGAGCACTGATTCCTGCCCTCTCGTAGTAATCTGTTATTTTTGAATCAGCAGGTTTAGGAAGATAATTATTCTCCTTGCCAGAGGAATACTGCTGAATACTGCCTCCTCAGCCTTCAGCAAGGAAATTAATCTCAAATTATAGAGACTGACACTTCTAATGTGCCCAGTACTGCCCACTTACTAAGTATGTGGGAAATCAAAGTAACAGACTAGACTAGGTGTACGAATACTGACAATGGTGTGTGCTCTACTTACAGCTTAGCCTACATTCAAAGTAGTCAGACATTTGTCAGGTCAGGTGTTTTCAAGACAATCTTTGTTTTTGATCTCCTGTTTCAACATATCCCACATACAGTGTTTTAAACATGTCTGCTCTGTGGTGTTTAGCTTGAAATATTTAAGATAAGAATTGTTACATAAACAAACAATATATGTGGCCAAATTATTAATAGTGAACCTAGGATTACAGGAACGATGTGATGACAGCAAGCTAAATATGGCAAAGAATCCTCCTGGACATGGTCCATATTACTCAATCAAAGATTATACATATTAGAGACTCGGCTCCTATTTGTAAATCAGACAATTTAATTTGACATCTTCTTCACAACAGATTCATCTGAGGGTCATAATGGAAATGTAACATATAACAGGTGTTGCAATAAAACCTCTCACTTTTGGAAAGGGAGAGCGGGAGGAGGCCTTAAGAACAAGCGATAAGTCTCTAACTACAGTTAAAGTCAGGCTGATGCGTTTTATAGTATTGTTCAAATGATTTCTGTTATGTTTGTGTGTGGTTTGTTCTTCCTAGCCTGGGGGATGGCGGGTGACTTCCACTACTCGAACCGTCTGCTTTCGAGCAAGCTCCTACGGCTTGGGTAAATTAACTGTACAAAAATAAGATTATAACATTGAGAATGCTGTCTTCATGGCAAGTTTAACTTGAAGTTCAAGTTAGTAGGGGATGTTGTGGAGGGTGTGTGTGATTATTTGTTTTCAACAGGACCTTAGGATAGTGCAGCGCAAACATATTTAGACAGAAGACATAGTCAGACTGATCTGCGCAACTGCAACAACAGGCTATATCAGTACGTTCCCCGTCATATGTTCCCTGTCATAAGTTGAATGCACCAATTTGTAAGTCGCTCTGGATAAGAGCGTCTGCTAAATGACTTAAATGTAAATGTAAATATGGTCTCTAGTTTCAATTCACTCTTGATGTGAACACGTAACTATAGACTTTGGCAGGATCATTCTTAGGCAATTAGGCAATAGGGTCCCATTAAAATGATATTGCCGTGCTAGCACAGCATGAGGAGAACCACTAGAACAGGGGTTCCCAATTACATTCAGCCATAGGACGATTTTTCCTTGAGCGGATTGGTCGGGGGGCGGAACATAGTAATAAAGAATCCCAAACAGATAGAGTATTTGACAAAAACAGAATAATTTCAAACCTTGATTACATTGGGATACGATCACATATGCCTCTCTATTTGTACGTGGGAATGCTTGGGAACAGATTTCGTAAATTAAAATCAGTTTGAGATGATTTCCTGGTGACTTTTCAATCTTTTATGTCCCAAAAAAACCGAAACATGGGGGCCAAATAAAATCACCTGTGGGCCTCCCGAGTGGTGCAGTGGTCTAAGGCACTGCATCGCAGTGCTAGAGGCGTCACTACAGACCCAGGTTCAATCCCAGGCTGTGTCACAGCCGGCCGGGACCGGGAGACCCATGAGGCGGCGCACAATTGGCCCAGCGTGGTTAGGGGAGGGTTTGGCCGGCCAGTTGTATGGTGTTTCCTCCGTAACTATTGGTGTGGCTGGCTTCTGGGTTAAGTGAGCAGTGTGGCTTGGCAGGGTTGTGTTTCGGAGGACGTATGCCTCTTTTGAGTCCGTGCGGAAGTTGCAGTGATGGGACAAGACTGTAACTACCAATTGGGGAGAAAAAAGGGGTAAAAAGTACACAATAAAAATAAAAATATTTACCCGTGGGTCGGATTTGTCCCGCTGGCCACCTATTGGGGAACCCTGCACTATAATTATCTCTCAGCACATTCTAAGTTGCTTTGACAATTCTTGTCACCCTTGGGGAAAGCCTTGGGTATGGATAGTGTTGACCAGCCTGAACCACCTGTCATCATTCACGGGAGGTATAATGGTCTGACATGTACACATTCAGATGGATTGAATATCCTACTATGGAGTACCACACAAATGCCCTCCAACCTCTGAAGCCAAACAGTTAATTTTTCTTTCACTTGAGTCTCACGCAGTCAGAGCTTTTTTTAAACACTTCATACCGTTCATTGTTAAGCATGTTTATTGTTATTTGACTCAATCCCACCTTCAGTTCCTTCGCTTTTATGTAGATGAAAGGCCACTTTGTTTTGTTCTTAATATTAACAATTACCTATTTTTCGCATAGTTATTTTAACCTCTGGCTCTGATACCTCTCCTACTGCTTTAAAGTTTGACATGATTTTCATTCAAACAAACGTTTCATGTAAAAGCTGATAGGATCAGGACTTCTGTAGGCATACATAGCGTGGAAAAGGAATGGTATTTCGGAAGTTGTTTTGAAAAGGTTGATATGGGGAACATGTTAGAGGTCCATTGTAATGCATTAAGATGGACTGGTACAAACCTTTTCTTTTAGAATGTTGAGTATGAAATGCATAAGACCTTAAGTTTGCTCTGATGTTTCTTTAAGGAAATGATTGCGATTGAGCAAAGATCACACTTCAGTTATTCTGTTGTAGGAATGCTGATCTTTCAAATGCTCCTGTGAGTCTGTTACTAAGCTATCCCTCAGGTAAGTTCATAAAAGTTATAGTGATGTAGTATTGACATTTTGTGCAGTGAATTCCCTAGAGGGTAGTTGCAGGATAAGAGTGTCCCCAGCAACGATGAGGAAGCAGCATGCTGGGACGGTGACGGGGAGATGTCACATTTATCAAAGTCATTGCATGCCACACACACTCTGGTCCTCCTTCAAGGAGCATGCCTCTGTCACCTCTTGCCCTTGTCTCAATTTCACCTTTCCCCTAGAGCCGTGGGACCTTGTCTGATGTAATTTCTGGAATGTTGAGGCTCTAGGAAAATGAGGACATGGGCACATGGCATTCAAATTTGGAAGGTTTAGCAACCCTCAATGTCCAAAAACCACCACAATTGTTGCCAGACAGTAGGGAGAGGGGTAAATATAAGCCAGTTGACAAGGGGGTTGTAAAAGACACAAAGATACTTCATCCTCAAGCACATTTCTGGACTACCAAGAAATATGGCCCTGCCTTTAAAATATGGCCCTGACATTAACTTTACGACTTGCCACACTCACTTTTCTGTACTTTGTACGGACTCATGTCAACACCTAATCAAGCATGTGTTTTTGCTGTGTCTGCAATAGCTGATTTATTTACTGTCACTCTAACAACTGTCACTCGAACAACTGTCAAGCAGTATAGCCAATGCTCTTAGCGGTTCATTAACATATAGGACTGTTTAAACATTTCACGCTTTACTTAAAGTTATAGTGTGTCTATATGTTTTCGATAAGCAAAGCAGTCCACTGAAAGTTATTTTAAGTGTCATTTGTGTTTTCTTTTATGCCTTAAATCCCTTTTTTGTGCTTTTCCCTTAATAATGTTGCTTTATATGTGTGTGGAGGTGTGAAGGGAGGAGTCATTGACTGATCATGTATTTTTGTCTCCCTCACTTACAGTTGGGCATTGCCATTGGCTTCCTGGTGCCGCCCATCCTCGTGCCAAATGTTGACGATATGGATGAGCTGGCATACCACATCAGCATCATGTTCTACATAACTGCTGGAATGGCCACCGTGATCTTTATCCTCGTGGTCTTTGGTAAGTCCTGGCCATTCTAATACATACAGTATGGCCTATGGCTAACACACAGAGCTGGTCAGTAGTTACTCCTTCCTAAGCTCATTCCCATTATAAATATAGCTCTTTCAGTCATTATGAGCCTTGAGGTGTTGAATTCATTACATTTTAATGTCAGTATTTCCTCTCCCCTGGGATTGTCTATGTATCAACAACTCATAATAAACGGAGCCACGGCCCATAACCTTGTGACCTTGTTTTCAACTTGCATCATTGTAAGATAATTTTTAAACGGGGACACTGAGAGCTCCGCTTTGGCAGTTTGAATATGATTACATTGCAGCATTGCATCTCCGGGGCTTATCATTGGGTCTGCAGTTCTGTAGTCTCCTGTCCTGGATGTCTACTTGTCCCTGGCAGTCATGTTCTCCTGGCAGTGTTGGTGGATAGGTCAGCAGTCTCAGGGATTAGTGCGTGTTGAGATGTGCTCTGAACAGACCACTCAATGTCTCTTCACTCACTTGCTGTGGCTACCACATGGCTGCAATCTATGTAATTGACCGTGGTTTGAGGAGCTCGTTGAACTGCCTTTTAAAGACCAGGTCATCCCACTTCCTATTTGTGGCCTCCCATGTTTTGTTGAAGGAGGCACATTGGGCAAGCTTAGACATGGAACCTGGCCTTAGAAGAAGAACTGGAGCCATGGTGGGAGGCAGTGGGCAGATAGTGGCCTGGCCAGCAACACTGTTGCAATTAGGGGATAGGATGCATATTTTATTTATTTCCTATCTTTCGGCTATAGCTATTGGATTTCTCAGTCAGATGAGGTTTGCTGCTGAGTGGTTGATCCCACCTCAAACTGCTACTATATATCCCTTGTGACTCTGTATTCAACATTTCTTTATTCTGAGAATGAAACTGATACATACTGTGTGTTCAGTCTGTAAGTCTTTAAACAAGCAGGAATCTGTTTCTCAAAGGCCCTAAGATCAACCAATGTTTGATATAAAGGTGTGTTTAAACATTATTATTATTATATTATTATTATTATTATTATTATTAAACAAACAGGCAATGTAGATCACAGTGTGCTGATGTCGTGGCTGTACTGTGTGTCACCCATCTGTGGTTATGACTGTGAGCTGGGTGCTGTGAGATATCTGATGCTTTTTGAAGCCCTCTGTTAGCTTGGTGCTGTAAGATATCCAGGGTTTGGAAGGTTACTTTCTAAATGTAATCCGTTACAGTTACTTACAGAGAGAGAGAAAGAGAACGCATGGGATGGCCATTAGCAACAAAATTGTGAAAGCTTGGCCATCACCTGTCCAAAATTGTAATCAGTAAAGTAATTACCCAAACTCAATTACGTAATTGGATTACTTTCAGTTACTTTTGGATTACTTTCCCATTAAGAGGCATTAGAAGAAGATTAAAAGGATCCATCAAATGCATTTGGTGTGTCATCATAGTGGTCTCTGACTTGTGGTCAGACTCGCTCAGGTGGAACAAACTTAAACTTGTGATTATTTTTTTTCTTTCAATGGTACATTGAATGTCATTGAGAAAACAGAAAGGTGTCATAATGTATTTTTACATTTTAAAGTAATCTAAGAAGTAATCATCTAGTTTTTCTAAAGTATCTGTAATCTGATTACAATATTTTTGCTAACAATGTAACTGATTACATGTAATCAGTTACTCCCCAACCCTGAAGATATCTGACGCCTTTTGAAGCCCTTTGTTAGCTTGGTGCTGTAAGATATCTGACGCCTTTTGAAGCCCTTTGTCAGCTTGGTGCTGTAAGATATCTGACGCCTTTTGAAGCCCTTTGTCAGCTTGGTGCTGTAAGATATCTGACGCCTTTTGAAGCCCTTTGTCAGCTTGGTGCTGTAAGATATCTGACGCCTTTTGAAGCCCTTTGTCAGCTTGGTGCTGTAAGATATCTGACGCCTTTGAAGCCCTTTGTCAGCTTGGTGCTGTAAGATATCTGACGCCTTTTGAAGCCCTTTGTCAGCTTGGTGCTGTAAGATATCTGACGCCTTTTGAAGCCCTTTGTCAGCTTGGTGCTGTAAGATATCTGACGCCTTTTGAAGCCCTTTGTTAGCTTGGTGCTGTAAGATATCTGACGCCTTTTGAAGCCCTTTGTCAGCTTGGTGCTGTAAGATATCTGACGCCTTTTGAAGCCCTTTGTCAGCTTGGTGCTGTAAGATATCTGACGCCTTTTGAAGCCCTTTGTTAGCTTGGTGCTGTAAGATATCTGACGCCTATTGAAGCCCTTTGTTAGCTTGGTGCTGTAAGATATCTGACGCCTTTTGAAGCCCTTTGTCAGCTTGGTGCTGTAAGATATCTGACGCCTATTGAAGCCCTTTGTTAGCTTGGTGCTGTAAGATATCTGACGCCTATTGAAGCCCTTTGTTAGCTTGGTGCTGTAAGATATCTGACGCCTATTGAAGCCCTTTGTTAGCTTGGTGCTGTAAGATATCTGACGCCTATTGAAGCCCTTTGTTAGCTTGGTGCTGTAAGATATCTGATGCCTATTGAAGTTCTCTGCTAGCTGTACAGATAGGTAGAGTAGAGGCTTTAGAGGGTAGTTGGTGAGTGGGTCCACTCTATGAACTCCTGCCCCAGTGGGCTGATCTCTCCTCCCCTCCCTCTCAGACTGAACATTGGAGCTGGCCTCTCCAGCGTGGCTATTGTTGACTTACTGACTGACTCACTCTGGGAAGCACCAGGGGCGTGGAGGAAGAGAGGGGGCCTGATAGGGCAAACAGTTACTGGTGCATCTCATCTCTCCAACTCCTTGTGTCTCCTTATCGTATCTCTCCAGTCCTCAGGCGAATTTCCAGACATGCATCATCTCTCCTTCATTCTCTTGTTCTCTTGTTCTCTTTTTCTCTTGTTCTCTCTCAATTCAATTTCAATTCAAGGGGCTTTATTGGCATGGGAAACATATGTTTACATTGCCAAAGCAAGCGAAATGGATAAACAAAATAAAAAATTTAGAATAAAGACAGTTCCAAAAGAATAAAGACATTTCAAATGTCATATTATGTCAATATACAGTGTTGTAATGATGTGCAAATAGTTAAAGTAAAAAAGGGAAAATAAATCAACATAAATATGGGTTGTATTTACAATGGTGTTTGTTGCCCTTTTCTTGTGGCAACAGGTCACACATATTGCTGCTGTGAGTGCACACTGTGGTATTACACAGATATGGGAGTTTATGAAAACTGGATTTGTTTTCGAATTCTTTGTGGGTCTGTGTAATCTGAGGGAAATGTGTGTCTCTAATATGGTCATACATTTGGCAGGAGGTTAGGAAGTGCAGCTGTTTCCACCTCATTTTGTGGGCAGTGTGCACATAGCCTGTCTTCTCTTGAGAGCCAGGTCTGCCTACGGCAACCTTTCTCAATAGCAAGGCTATGCTCACTGAGTCTGTACATAGTCAAAGCTTTCCTTATTTTTGGGTCAGTCACAGTGGTCAGGTATTCTGCCAATGTGTACTCTCTGTTTAGGGCCAAATAGCATTCTAGTTTGCTCTGTTTTTTTTGTTAATTCTTTCCAATGTGTCAAGTAATTATATTTTTGTTTTCTCATGATTTGGTTGGGTCTAATTGTGTTGCTGTCCTGGGGCTCTGTGGGGTATGTTTGTGTTTGTGAACAGAGCCCCAGGACCAGCTTGCTTAGGGGACTCTTCTCCAGGTTAATCTCTCTGTAGATGATGGCTTTGTTATGGAAGGTTTGGGAATCGTTTCCTTTTAGGTGATTGTAGAATTTAACGGCTCTTTTCTGGATTTTGATAATTAGCGGGTATCGGCCTAATTCTGCTCTACATGCATTATTTGGTGTTTTACGTTGTACACAGAGGATATTTTTGCAGAATTCTGCATGCAGTCTCAATTTGGTGTTTGTCCCATTTTTTGAATTATTGTTTGGTGAGTGGACCCCATACCTCACAACCATAAAGGGCAATAGGTTCTATAACTGATTCAAGTATTTTTAGCCAGATCCTAATTGTTATGTCAAATTTTATGTTCCTTTTGATGGCATAGAAGGCCCTTCTTGCCTTGTCTCTCAGATTGTTCACAACTTTGTGGAAGTTACCTGTGGCGCTGATGTTTAGGCCAAGGTATGTATAGTTTTTTTGTGTGCTCTAGGGCAACGTTGTCTAGATGGAATTTGTATTTGTTTTTTTTGGGCAATTTTAACCGCACACTTGTTTGTGTACATGGATTTTATAATGTCGTATGTTTTTCCCCAAACTCCACTTTCCATCAATTTGTATAGCAGACCCTCATGCCAAATTGAGTCAACAAAGAATGAGAAGACTTTGCCTTTGTTTTGTTTTGTTTGTTTGTCAATTAGGGTGTGCAGGGTGAATACGTGGTCTGTCGTACGGTAATTTGGTAAAAAGCCAATTTGACATTTGCTCAGTACATTGTTTTCACTGAGGAAAGTCTGCTGTTAATGATAATGCAGAGGATTTTCCCAAGGTTGCTGTTGACGCATATCCCATGGTAGTTATTGGGGTCAAATTTGTCTCCACTTTTGTGGATTGGGGTTATCAGTGCTTGGTTCCATATATTGGGGAAGATGCCAGAGCTGAGGATGATGTTAAAGAATAGCCAATTGGAATTTGTGGTCTATATTCTCTCTCTCTCTGAGATAGGCCCTGTTTCTTGCCTAGAGTGTGCTGTACCACCCTGGCTGTAACTTTGGACCTTCCTGTCCCACAGTCCCCCAGAGCTCTTTGACTGCCTGTGACTGCCCTGCCTCCTACGGTGCTCAGGTGTCTGTGTTGATTGATATGAGCACAGATGGGATTTTAGCCACATGGGATGGCCATTGGCCAAGCTTTCACTATTTTGTAACTATCACCAGCTTATTTGGGTGACTGCTTCTTGTTTTTCTTAGGGGAACAGACGAGGGGGAGGATTGGCTTGTGGTTGGATCCAATTTCGAACATTCTCTTTTAAAGGGCTCTGACAGGCAGGAGCACAGTTGTGGAACTTCAGATTCTACATCAGACTCTTTTCTAATATATTTAGGGTGTTTCTAGATAATGTATGAATGGTCCAGTGTCAGGGGAATTGCATACAAACTTCTACACTACAGTATATCAGCATTATTACATTATCATTCTCGGTTCTCTGTGTCCAACAGTGTTCCAAGAGAAGCCGGAAATCCCTCCCACCCTGGCTCAGGCCCAGGCCAGGAACATCCCGCCAGAGGAGTACTCCTACATGGCCTCTATCCTGAGACTGCTGCGTAACCTACCCTTCATGCTCCTCGTCATCAGCTATGGTGGGTCCTATTCACCCTCAAACCACACCCATACTCCTATTATTTGAGAAAACAAAAAGCCAGGATACCTATGGCTGGTCAGATCAATAGAGGGTCATTATCAGTTTGTGCAGAGATATGTGAATATATCTCTCACTATATTTTTATATTCAGGGCACTGTACATGTGTACATCTGAAGGTCTCTTAAAACAGTGAGGTTTGAGGATTTGAAGTTTACCGTCAGATTCTTAGGGTTGAAAGGTCACAATCCTGTAGTTGATGATTAACTAATTGAAGGTGTAATGTAGCATTACTAGTCCATAAAAGTGTTCCCTCAGGTCAGCTCAGCCTGATGACGTTTCTACTGAATTGTTGGCTGCTGTGGCTGTGTCATCTCAATATCAACGATGACTTAAATGCAGTTCAATTTTTACATATGTCATGCCCTCTAACGTCAATTACAGTGACACCGGTGTTTGGAAATATGACGTTTTACTTGGTTAGATTTGTAGTTTTTTTGTAAATGTTTACATTGTTTACCATTTGATGTGGCAACTTAGGATGTTCAGAAATAAGACAAAAACCTTAAGGGCAAAGCTGTCCATACCAAAGAAATATGGAGTGACACGTCACAATCTATGCCAAAGTCAAATAGTCTCTCCTGTAAGGGTTGGTGTGAGGTTTGACCCAGGTGCGGTGCAGGATAGACAGTAGGCAGTTGGCAAGGATGGTGAAACAAGGATCTTTACTGGTGGTCCAAAAGCCAGGATACAAAACAACAGACTATACACGAAAACAAATGAGGAGCACATAGGTCTCCAAAAAACAGGCTGACAACAAACAATATGAAATACTAACTCTTACTGGAAAAACACAATGACACAGGGAGAACACTTCTTGAGTACCTGTAACTCCGTCACGTTGTCACGCTCGTCGGGAACAGAGGAGGACCAAGGCGCAGCGTTGAATGCGAACATATTTATTTATATAATGATCACACGATCAAAAACAACAAAACGATGACGTGAAAGTCAATGGTCAAACACAAACCAACACGAACAAGAAACCACAATGAATGAATGCCTAACGGCTACCTAAGTATGACTCCCAATCAGAGACAACGAGCTACAGCCGTCTCTGATTGGGAGCCACCCTGGCCAACATAGATATACCACAACTAGAACCAACACACATGAAAACTCACACCCTGGCTCAACATACTAGAGTCCCCAGAGCCAGGGCGTGACAGTACCCCCCCCTAAAGGCGCGGACTCCGACCGCGCCAACCAAATACCACAGGGGAGGGACCGGGTGGGCCCTCCGCCTTGGCGGCGGATCCGGCTCCGGGCATGATCCCCACTCGCTCTCTAACCCCCCAAAGTACCCCTGGTCCGGTCTGGCCCTGCTGACCGGAGCTGGACTGCACACTGGTGGAGCGGATTGCTCTAGCTCCGGCGTGAAGCAGCTGACCCGTGCTGAACCAGGCACCAGTGGAACAGGCACGGGCTGTGCCGGACTGACGACGCACACCACTGGCTTGGTGTGGGGAGCAGGAACGGCCCGAGCCGGGCTGACGAAACGCACCCCTGACTTGGTGCGGGGAGCAGGAGCGGGCCGAACCGGGCTGACGAAGCGCACCACTGACTTGGTGCGGGGAGCAGGAACGGGCCGAGCCGGGCTGACGAAGCGCACCACTGACTTGGTGCGGGGAGCAGGAACGGGCCGAGCCGGGCTGACGAAGCGCACCACTGACTTGATGCGGGGAGCAGGAACGGGCCGAGCCGGGCTGACGAAGCGCACCACTGACTTGGTGCGGGGAGCAGGAACGGGCCGAGCCGGGCTGACGAAGCGCACCACTGACTTGGTGCGGGGAGCAGGAACGGGCTGAGCCGGGCTGACGAAGCGCACCACTGACTTGGTGCGGGGAGCAGGAACGGGCCGAGCCGGGCTGACGAAGCGCACCATTGGCCTGGTGCGGGGAGCAGGAACAGGCCGGACCGTACTGGGGACACACACCACTGGTCCTACGCAGGGATCTGGAATGGGCCGGACCGGACTGGTAACACACCCCAGTACCTCTCGCCGTGCCTCTACACCTTCCATCCCCTCTTCGACCAGTGGCCCCCGTAACCTGGCGGCCTCCTCTGCCAACCCGCTGGGCCGCTCTGCCGCGGTCTCCTGCTGGCCCATCGTCCACGGCGTTAGCCCCCCCCCTAAAAAATGTCTGGGCGTCTCTCCTACCCGTGGACCAGGTCTCCATGTCCCTCGCCAGCCTTTCGCCCTTCTGCCTCCATGTCAAGCCCTTCTCTTCCTCACCCGGCTTGACCCAGTCGAGGAGGCGAAGGAGATCTGCTAGAGATCTCCCTGGCGATGGCTCCTGGACACGCTGCTTGGTCCAGTCTTGGTGGTTTCTTCTGTCACGCTCATCGGGAACAGAGGAGGACCAAGGCGCAGCGTTGAATGCAAACATATTTATTTATATAATGATCACACGATCAAAAACAACAAAACGATGACGTGACAGTCAATGGTCAAACACAAACCAACACGAACAAGAAACCACAATGAATGAATGCCTAACGGCTACCTAAGTATGACTCCCAATCAGAGACAACGAGCTACAGCCGTCTCTGATTGGGAGCCACCCTGGCCAACATAGATATACCACAACTAGAACCAACACACATGAAAACTCACACCCTGGCTCAACATACTAGAGTCCCCAGAGCCAGGGCGTGACACACGTGCTCCGACACTTATACGTTCTGCTTGACATCAAGGAACTATAAGAGAAAACTGAGCAAGGGAACACAGGGAAGTGAGGGCATAAATACACAGGTGAATCAGATAGCCACAGGTGACACCAATAGGCAGATAATTAGTCCCAACTGTGAGTGAGGTGCCTATGGTTATCGGAGGAACTGCGACCCACTCCTGTAACACTCTCTCTTGCACTAGTGTAGTAGTAGACTGTCTAAGGGCCAGGTATGGGTTCCATGTGTGTGTCTGCCAGGCTTCCTTTAGGACAGGGCCAGTGAAACCCAAACACAGTGTCCCATGTGAATCCCCCTGCTCTCCCTGCAGGCCTCCTCGCTCAGACTAAATAAAGACCTGCTCCTCTGCAGACTACAGAACGTACATGTTTCTTTATGTTTTCTGCAGGGCTGAATGTCGGTTGTTTCTACGCTGTTTCCACACTGCTGAACCGGATGATTATTGAGCATTATCCAGTAAGTCACACCACAAATCTTAACACAACCAAGTCCCTCTGTGTCACTGGCCATGACCTGCAGTTATTGCCACACATATTCAAATTAAGATATTGAGATGTTCCTTCCCCAAATAAGTACAATATTTAAATGTGTAGTCTATAATTCAGGGTATTTTCTAAAGACACTTAAACTGACAATTCTATAGTACCGAAAAATATAACTGGGATCAAAAAGATAACTAGTATCATGGTGTAGCAAGTCAGCTCACCCCAGATAAAATAACTGAAGGGTGTGAGAGGGTTAGGATGTCTAATGTTTAACTGCAGAATTATGCCTAAAGACAAATTCTGTAATTTTCACCTTCCCTGAAGGGTGAAGAGGTGAATGCTGGGAGAATTGGCCTCACCATTGTTATTGCTGGGATGGTGGGGTCCATCATATGTGGGATCTGGTTGGACAAGACCAAAACCTACAAGTAAGATACTCTTCTCCCTCCTAGGACTGAACATTTGAGAGTACCCAAGAAAGACTTAACTGAAAAAACCCACACATTATTACATCAGCATTATGCTCCTAGATACAGCTCTTTTTTGTGACTTTGATATCTCAGTGGCTCTTTCTTAGAACTAAGTAACTGAATAAGGTAACATACACAAGGTCCCCAGTCCCAACCTAAGACACATGTCATAACATCATAATAGTGTGGCTGTAGCTGGTTGCTGACAAGGCTGCTGACTCTAATCTTTAATCTGATGACACAAGAAGATTCCCAGGAATTGTCATGATCCTCTGAAGCTTTTTGTTCAAGCTCTGTAATCAAGTCAGTCAACCGAACACTCTTTATGTAGATAACATTTTCTCTGTTTTCTGCCGCCATCAGACTCCTCTAACAAATTGTACTATTATGTGTGTTTTTTCACGTTATTTGTAATTTATTCTGTACATAATGTTTCTGACACCGTCTCTTATGACCAAAAAGAGCTTCTGGATATCAGGACAGCGATTACTCACATTGAATTGGACGAAGATTTTTTCTTCAACGAGTCGGACGCAAAGGATATTCTACAGACGCCCGACAAGGCCCAAATCGCCGTCATTCGCATGGGAAAGAGACGGTGATATCGTAGATGTAGGTCGGGGTGCCTTGTAAGGATCTGACGGCGAGCGAGTAAACTGCCTCTTCCATCAATCCTATTAGCCAATGTTCAATCATTTGAAAATAAATTGGACGACCTAAGATTAAGGTTATCCTACCAACAGGATTTTAAAAACTGTAATATCTTATGTTTCACCGAGTCGTGGCTGAACAACGACATGGATAACATACAGTGGGGAAACATAGCATTTAGTCAGCCACCAATTGTGCAAGTTCTCCCACTTAAAAAGATGAGAGAGGCCTGTAATTTTAATCATAGGTACATGTCAACTATGACAGACAAAATGAGGGAAAAAAATCCAGAAAATCACATTGTAGGATTTTTAATGAATTTATTTGCAAATTATGGTTATTTGGTCAATAAAAAAAGTTTCTCAGTACTTTGTTATATACCCTTTGTTGGCAATGAAACAGGTCAAACGTTTTCTGTAAGTCTTCACAAGGTTTTCACACACTGTTGCTGGTATTTTGGCCCATTCCTCCATGCAGATCTCCTCTAGAGCAGTGATGTTTTGGGGCTGTCGCTGTGCAACACGGACTTTCAACTCCCTCCAAAGATTTTCTATGGGATTGAGATCTGGAGACTGGCTAGGCCACTCCAGGACCTTGAAATGCTTCTTACGAAGCCACTCCTTCGTTGCCCGGGCGGTGTGTTTGGGATCATTGTCATGCTGAAAGACCCAGCCACGTTTCATCTTCAATGCCCTTGCTGATGGAAGGAGGTTTTCACTCAAAATCTCACGATACATGGCCCCATTCATTCTTTCCTTTACACGGATCAGTCGTCCTGGTCCCTTTGCAGAAAAACAGCCCCAAAGCATGATGTTTCCACCCCCATGCTTCACAGTAGGTATGGTGTTCATTGGATGCAACTCAGCATTCTTTGTCCTCCAAACACGACGAGTTGAGTTTTTACCAAAAAGTTATATTTTGGTTTCATCTGACCATATGACATTCTCCCAATCCTCTTCTGGATCATCCAAATGCACTCTAGCAAACTTCAGACGGGCCTGGACATGTACTGGCTTAAGCAGGGGGACACGTCTGGCACTGCAGGATTTGAGTCCCTGGCGGCGTAGTGTGTTACTGATGGTAGGCTTTGTTACTTTGGTCCCAGCTCTCTGCAGGTCATTCACTAGATCCCCCCGTGTGGTTCTGGGATTTTTGCTCACCGTTCTTGTGATCATTTTGACCCCACGGGGTGAGATCTTGCGTGGAGCCCCAGATCGAGGGAGATTATCAGTGGTCTTGTATGTCTTCCATTTCCTAATAATTGCTCCCACAGTTGATTTCCTCAAACCAAGCTGCTTACCTATTGCAGATTCAGTCTTCCCAGCCTGGTGCAGGTCTACAATTTTGTTTCTGGTGTCCTTTGACAGCTCTTTGGTCTTGGCCATAGTGGAGTTTGGAGTGTGACTGTTTGAGGTTGTGGACAGGTGTCTTTTGATACTGATAACAAGTTCAAACAGGTGCCATTAATACAGGTAACGAGTGGAGGACAGAGGAGCCTCTTAAAGAAGAAGTTACAGGTCTGTGAGAGCCAGAAATCTTGCTTGTTTGTAGGTGACCAAATACTTATTTTCCACCATAATTTGCAAATAAATTCATAAAAAATCCTACAATGTGATTTTCTGGATTTTTTTTCCTCAATTTGTCTGTCATAGTTGACGTGTACCTATGATGAAAATTACAGGCCTCTCTCATCTTTTTAAGTGGGAGAACTTGCACAATTGGTGGCTGACTAAATACTTTTTTTCCCCACTGTACAGCTGGCAGGATATACGCTACATCGGCAGGATAGAATGTCTGACTCCGGTAAGACAAGGGGTGGCGGTCTGTGTATATTTGTAAACAACAGCTGGTGCATAAAATCTAATACTAAGGAAGTCTCAAGGTTTTGCTCGCCTGAGGTAGAGTATCTCATGATAAGCTGTAGATCACACTATTTACCAAGAGAGTTTTCATCTATATTTTTCGTAGCTGTTTATTTACCACCACAAACCAATGCTGGCACTAAGATTGCACTCAATTAGCTGTATAAAGCCACAAGTAAACAGGAAAACTCTCATCCAGAGGCAGCGCTCCTAGTGGCCGGGGACTTTAATGCAGGGAAACTTAAATCCGTTCTACCTAATTTCTACCAGCATGTTAAATGTGCAACCAGAGGGGAAAAAAACTCTAGACCACCTTTACTCCACACACAGAGACGCGTACAAAGCTCTCCCTCGCCCTCCATTTCGCAAATCTGACCATAACTCTATCCTTCTGATTCCTGCTTATAAGCAAAAACTAAAGCAGGAAGCACCAGTGACTCGGTTAATAAGGAAGTGGTCAGATGACGCAGATGCTAAGCTATAGGACTGTTTTGCTAGCACAAACTGGAATATGTTCCGGGATTCTTCCAATAGCATTGAGGAGTACACCACATCAGTCACTGGCTTCATCAATAAGTGCATCGATGACGTCGTCCCCACAGTGACTGTACGTACATACCACAACCAGAAGCTATGGATTACCGGCAACATCCACACTGAGCTAAAGGGTAGAGCTGCTGCTTTCAAGGAGCGGGACTCTAACCCGGACGCTTATAAGAAATCCTGCTATGCCCTCCGACGAACCATCAAACAGGCAAAGAGTCAATACAGGACTAAGATTGAATCGTAATACAACGGCTCTGATGCTCGTCGGATGTGGCAGGGCTTGAAAACTATTACAGACTACAAAGGGAAGCACAGCCGCGAGCTGCCCAGTGACACAAGCCTACCAGACGAGCTAAATCACTTCTATGCTCGCTTCGAGGCAAGCAACACTGAAGCATGCATGAGAGCATCAGCTGTTCTGGATGACTATGTGATCATGCTCTCCGTAGCCGATGTGAGTAAGACTTTTAAGCAGGTCAACATTCACAGACGGATTACCAGGACGTGTACTCCGAGCATGCGCTGACCAACTGGCAAGTGTCTTCACTGACATTTTCAACATGTCCCTGACTGAGTCTGTAATACCAACATGTTTCAAGCAGACCACCATAGTCCCTGTGCCCAAGAACACTAAGATAACCTGCCTAAAAGTGCTTTGAAAGGCTGGTCATGGCTCACATCAACACCATTATCCCAGAAACCCTAGACCCACTCCAATTTGCATACCACCCCAGCAGATCCACAGATGATGCAATCTCTATTGCACTCCACACTGCCCTTTCCTACCTAGACAAGAGGAACACCTACGTGAGAATGCTATTCATTGACTACAGCTCAGCGTTCAACACCATAGTGCCCTCAAAGCTCATCACTAAGCTAAGGACCCTGGGACTAAACACCTCCCTCTGCAACTGGATCCTGGACTTCCTGACGGGCCGCCCCCCATGTGGTAAGGGTAGGTAACAACACATCTGCCACGCTGATCCTCAACACGGGGGCCCCTCAGGGGTGAGTGCTCATTCCCCTCCTGTACTCCCTGTTCACCCGTGATTGCATGGCCAGGCACGACTCCAACACCATCATTAAGTTTGCAGACAACACAAAAGTGGTAGGCCTGATCACCGACAACGAGGAGACAGCCTATAGGGAGGAGGTCAGAGACCTGGCAGTGTGGTACCAGGATAACAAACTTTCCCTGAACGTGATCAAGACAAAGGAGATGATTGTGGACTACAGGAAAAAAAAGAGGACTAAGCACAGCCCTATTCTCATCGACGGGGCTGTAGTGGAACAGGTTGAGAGCTTCAAGTTCCTTGGTGTCCACATCACCAACAAACTATCATGGACAAACACACCAAGACAGTCGTGAAAAGGGCACGACAAAGCCCCTATTCTCTCTAAGGAGACTGAAAAGATTTGGCATGGGTCCTCAGATCCTCAAAAAGTTATACAGCTGCACCATCGAGAGCATCCTGACTGGTTGCATCACCGCCTGGTATGGCAACTGCTCGGCCTCTGACCGCAAGGCACTACAGAGGGTAGTGCGTACTGCCCAGTACATCACTGGGGCCAAGCTTCCTGCCATCCAGGACCTCTATACCAGGCGGTGTCAGAGGAAGGCCCTAAAAATTGTCAAAGACTCCAGCCACCCTAGTCATAGACTGTTCTCTCTGCTACCGCACGGCAAGCGGTACCGGAGCGCCAAGTCTACGTCCAAAAGGCTTCTTAACAGCTTCTACCCCCAAGCCATAAGACTCCTGAACAGCTAATCATGGCTACCCGGACTATTTGCATTGCCCCACTACCCCACCCCACCCCACCACAACCCCCTATTTTACGCTGCTGCTACTATTATTTATGCATAGTCACTTTAACTCTACCCACATGTATATATCACCTCAATTACCTCGACTAACCGGTGCCCCCGCACATTGACTGTACCGGTACCCCCTGTATATAGCCTCTCTACTGTTATTTTATTTTACTGCTGCTCTTTAACTATTTGTCATTTTCTATTTTTTACTTATCTATTTTTTACTTAACTTATTTTCTTAAAAAATTTTACATTTACATTTAGCAGACGCTCTTATCCATACTGGCCCCACGTGGGAATCGAACCCACAACCCTGGCGTTGCAAGCGCCATGCTCTACCAACTGAGCTACAGGAAACCCATTCCATGAAGCTCCCGAAGATCAGTTCTTGTGCTGACGTTGCTTCCAGAGGCAGTTTGGAACTCCGTAGTGAGTGTTGCAACCGAGGACAGACGATTTTTACGTGCTACGCGCTTCAGCACTCGGCAGTCCCGTTCTGTGAACTTGTGTGGCCTACCACTTCACAATAACAGCACTTACAGCAGCTCTAGCAGGGCAGAAATTTGATGAACTGACTTGTTGGAAAGGTGGCATCCTATTACGGTGCCCCGTTGAAAGTCACTGAGCTCTTAAGTACGGGCCATTCTACTGCCAATGTTTGTCTATGGAGATTGCATGGCGGTGTGCTCGATTTTATACACCTGTCAGCAACGGGTGTGGCTGAAATAACCGAATCCACTCATTTGAAGGGGTGTCCACATTATTTTGTATATAAGCTTTTGTATATATAGTGTATAGGTTCATAAAAACCACACAAGCAAAAACAATGTTACGAACAAATACATTCAATTTCATTACTCCTGTTGTATTTGGCGCATGTGGCAAATACAATTTGATTTGATTTGATTAGTATGTATATATTGAACTTGAAGGAAGCAAGGATGTGGTTCATGTAAGTCACTTATCCAAAACTCTATTTGTTTGCATTGCTGGAATTGGTCCATGTTGGAAGAGGTTTAGTAACTGCTGATGAGTCATCTTTGAGAACTTTTACCCTGTTAATTAGTGATTAAAAGGTGATTTGTGGAAACGATTGTGTACAGTCTAGTTAATACTGCTCTCATGCTCAAGCAGTAGCCAGACTCACTGTATCTACCTAAGCTTACTCTTAAGTCTTATACACGGTATCCCAATATCTTATCCTTTGTCAAAAATATCCATAGCTTGAAAAGGTAACAATCAGTAATGTTGTGATACTCTCATGAGCACCGGGTTATAAAAAAGTAAACCCAATATGATATTGGATGGGCTGGGCTCTTGCACACAACAGCCTCTCTCATTAGTCACACTAAAGAAAGCACTTTCTGCATGAATGTCTTTTAAATCTCCTATTCAAAGGCAGGCTCGTAGGTGGATTAAGTATTTTTGTTGGAAGTGGGAACCACTGAGGTTCTGGAGGAACTGATTGTGGTATCTGATGTGTCTCCCTGCATACAGTGCCTTCAGAAAGTATTCAGACCCCTTGACTTTTTCCACATTTTGTTAGGTTAAAGCCTTATTCAAAAATCTACACACAATACCCCATAATTAAAAAGCAAAAAAAAGTATTCAGACCCTTTACTCAGTACTTTGTTGAAGCACCTTTAGCAGCGATTACAGCCTCGAGTCTTCTTGGGTATGACGCTACAAGCTTGGCACACCTGTATTTGGGGTGTTTCTCCCATTCTTCTCTGCATATCCTCTCAAGCTCTGTCAGGTTGGATGGGGAGCGTTGCTGCACAGCTATTTTGAGATCTCTTCAGAGATGTTCGATCGGGTTCAAGTCCGGTCTCTGGCTGGGCCACTCAAGGACATTCAGAGACTTATCCCGAAGCCGCTCTGGCGTTATCTTGGCTGTGTGCTTAGGGTCGTTGTCCTGTTGGAAGGTAAACCTTCACCCCAGTCTGAGGTCCTGAGCACTCTGGAGCAGGTTTTCATCAAGGATCTCTCTGTACTTTGCTCTGTTCATCTTTGCCTCGATCCTGACTGGTCTCCCAGTCCCTGCCACTGAAAAACATCACAACAGCATGATGCTGCCACCACAATGCTTCACCATAGGGATGGTGCCAGGTTTCCTCCAGATGTGACACTTGGCATTCAGGCCAAAGAATTCAATCTTAGTTTAATCGGACCAGAGAATCTTGTTTCTCATGGTCTGAGAGTCCTTTAGGTGCCGTTTGGCAAACTCCAAGCGGGCCTTCATGTGTCTTTTACTGAGGAGTGGCTTCCGTCTGACCACTCCACCATAAAGGCCCGATTGGTGGAGTGCAGCAGAAATGGTTGTCCTTCTGGAAGGTTCTCCCATCTCCACAGAAGAACTCTGGAGCTCTGTCAGAGTGACCATCGGGTTCTTGGTCACCTCCCTGACCAAGGCCCTTCTCCCCCGATTGCTCAGTTTGGCCGGGCGGCCAGCTCTAGGAAGAGTCTTGGTGGTTCCAAACTTCTTCCATTTAAGAATGATGGAGGCCACTGTGTTCTTGGGGACCTTCAATGCTGCAGACATTTTTTGGTACCCTTCCCCAGATCTGTGCCTCGACAAAATCATATCTCGGAGCTCTACGGACAGTTCCTTCGACCTCATGGCTTGGTCTTTCCTCTGACATGCACTGTCAACTGTGGGACCTTATATAGACAGGTGTGTGCCTTTCCAAATCATGTCCAATCAATTGAATTTACCACAGGTGGACTCCAATCAAGTTGTAGAAACATCTCAAGGATGATCAATGGAAACAGGATGCACCTGAGCTCAATTTCGAGTCTCATAGCGAAGGGTCTGAATACTTATGTAAATAAGGTATTTCTGGATTTTTTCGCTTTGTCATTATGGGGTATTGTGTGTAGATTGCTGAGAAAAAAAAAAAAAAATGAGAATAAGGCTGTAACGTAACAAAATGTGGAAAAGGGGTCTGAATACTTTCCGAAGGCACTGTATCTAAGCTGACAGGCTTCATCCAAGCCTCCTGGCCTGATGGAATGGCAGCTCCATAGACATCATTCAGACATCTGCACAGACAATAATGTCTAATTATGTCCGTTTGACCTTTCTATTTGTTTAGGTCAAATAACACAGGCTGTTGTTTCTCACCACAGACCAGCCATTCATCAACACATTCTGACCTGATCTTGAACAAACAATGAATCAAAATCAAATCAAATCAAATTTTATTTGCCACATGCGCCGAATACAACAGGTGCAAACCTTACAGTGAAATGCTTACTTACAAGCCCTTAACCAACAATGCAGTTTTAAGAAAAATAAGGGTTAAGTAAAAAAGAGATAAGTAAAAAATAAGAAAATAACAAATAATTAAAGAGCAGCAGTAAAATAAAACAGTAGGGAAGCTATATACAGGGGGTACCGGTACAGAGTCAGTGTGCGGGGGTACAGGAATCATCTATGTGGTTCAGTAGTAGCTGACACCCAATTTTACACATTTGGGAATAACAACTGCAGTGCCAATACCAAGTGTTTACCTGCCAACCTAACCCCCTAACCCTCACTTCACCTAGCTGTCTAAAACACAATCATTCTTCACATGCCATTTGAATATATTCAGCCAAAGCAGTCAACCCAGATTTCTGTTGTTGACATACCTCCATGTGTGAGAGTCACAGGACTAAGTTGTATTAACAACAACTGCTGAGTGGAGCAATGTTTCACATGTGGTTGTACAGGAAGAGCTTCACCATAGTCAGCCTGTTGGTGTAGGCCAGAATATGCCGGAGTAATGCTAAGGGGGACTTAGGAATCTTGTTTTTCCTCTCATAAAGAATGGGATGGGAGGTGTTGACAGTGAAGCCACAGCCAGCCTCATCCAACAGTGCTGCATGCCAATTGAGAACTGGAACTTGTTGCTGGTGCTGTGTGTAGGTCCCACAGGCAGTATTGCCCCTAGCCTGCCTGTGGGAAGTTTCAGGACTGGAACTTTTGTGGCCATGTTATGTAAAAGCCATATCCAGATGAGATAAAAACATTGCAGACTCATTCAAATCCTATATGGGGTATACAATATTGAGCAAGGCATCAAATAAAGTTAGAACATTTTAATTTACACAAATATAAAGTAGATTTCATACAGGCGAAAGCAGGACAAAACAAACAAATATTATTTCCCTCTCTCCCCAGGCAGACTACTCTGGCTGTGTATCTCCTGTCCTTTGTGGGAATGGTGGTCTATGCCTTCACCCTGAACTTAGGCCACCTATGGGTGGTGTTTGTGACATCAGCGGCCCTAGGGTAAGAGTGAACAAACACTGTGACTAAACACAATGATGTTTGTGAATGATTTGCATATCCTAGCTATTACACCTCTAGCATGTCAGTTGTAAGAAGGGGTGGACTAGACCTTCTTTTCTGGTCACACTGCAGGAACACTGTATGCTATTTACATTACAAACTGCCTCCTTGCTCTTTAAACAGCCACTCTGTGAGAAGAGACAGACAATATCTTGAGACGCTGATTAGTTGTGTTAAAAGACAATTTAATGTAAAGCTCATTTTAATGATTTTGTGCAACATTCATTATTTTACCTTGGAGTTCAATAAGTATTTTATCATTTGTTAATTGATGTATAAAGGAGATGACCAAGAGCTGAAGGTTTAAAGGGTATGCTAGGTAATGGCCTCAGAGGACATTTGATTGTGGAGTTGATTTTCTCTCAGCCCAGTCAGCAGGCATGAAATGTTAAAGTGCTGCTCTTTAGCTCAAGTAACAACAACACTGATAAACCTCCTATGTATTCAGGTTCTTCATGACTGGGTACCTGCCGCTTGGCTTTGAGTTTGCTGTGGAGCTGACCTTCCCAGAGTGTGAGGGCACCTCCTCAGGACTCCTCAACTGTTCAGCTCAGGTAACAGGGACCATACTAATGACAGCATTGAAAGGTTTGTTGTATGCATGAGTTCTACTGTATGTATGAATGTGTTCAGAGATGATCAACTCTCATGCTGACTCCCCTCATTTGCCCTCCATCTTCTTCCAGATATTTGGGATCATATTCACCATCAGTCAAGGGAAGATCATAGACCACTTTGGCACATTCGCTGGGAACATCTTTTTATGTGTCTTCCTCCTCATAGGGACCATTATGACAGGTAGAGTTCCCCCCCCCCCCCCCCCCCCCCCCCCCCCCCAACACACACACACACAGATTATAGCCCTGTTTCGCAATAACAGAGCAGCTCTACAGTAGATTGAACATTGGACTCATCTGCCTGCAGTTGTTATAGTGAAGCATAGTGACATGTTATGTGATCCACATTATATGGGGCTTTAGTAGTGCATGACTCCTCAGACAATTGTGTCAGTCAAGCAGTAGCTCAGCTGGTAGAGCACGGCACTTGTAACGCCAAGGTAGTGGGTTCGATCCCCGGGACCACCCATACACAAAAAAAAAATGTATGCACGCATGACTGTAAGTCGCTTTGGATAAAAGCGTCTGCTAAATGGCATATTTATTTTTTAATTTTTATGTAACAGCTGTGTCTAAGAATCATCATGGAGTAATAATGCCCTCTAGTGGCTCATAGTGATCATGATGAAAATGAACACATTTTCTACACACAGTAGGACATTTCCCACATTGTTTCAGAAGCTATACATGCCCTGTGTATTCCTAAATATCGGTTTCTGAGAAGTGCCTTTCCTCTCTCTAAATCGTACAGCATTCATCAAGTCTGACCTCCGACGGCAAAAGGCCAACCATCTGGCTGAGACTCAGGCGGCGAGTGTAAGTGTATCTGTTTCTGCTATTTGGTGTCAGCGGTGGGATCTCTGCATTCCAGTTAAAGGGAATGTGTCGGATACTTCCCCTGGCTGATGCTCCATTCAATGGACTATTCTAGTTAGCTGCTTCTCTGGGGCTGGGTTCATCTTGCTTGCTGTGGAGTGGACACAGGGGTCACAGGCGTCACACACCACCATGCTTTTCCTCAGCTTTCTGAAAACAACTCAGGTGTTTCTGAAAGCATGACTCTGCACCCGCTGTCAGCTCTCCAGCTCGCTGTATTTGATTGCATGCCTTGCTGGTGTTTGATACAGAATGTATGCTTGAGAAGTTTCTGTTTCATTCAACACGCACACCTGTTTTACAAAGATGCCTTTTGTCACAGATTATTATGACTACAGTTTGCAGAGCTATAGAAAGCTATCCCACAATATCAGGGTGAATTATCATTCTGGTTTATCTGGAGTATAAAACAACAATAATATTACATCACGCTGTAGTTTACAATAGGCAATTGCACTCATTTGGCAGCAAAATAAATCATATAAAAATGGCTTGCTCACTCAATATAAAATTGAATTCTCTCAAACAAAATGAGCTTTAATTATATAATAGATTCATAATAAACTTCAGGCTCAACTCACCAGTGGTCAGGGATGATCAGATGTTCAAGATCAACTTTAAATCATTAACAATACTCTCATACTGTACCTAACACATCCATTCTGCTCAGCGCTTGTATTCTTTCTATTATGAGAATATTGCTATCACCTCTTTTATCTCAATGCAGGTTGGGAGCTTTACTCACTTCATTTATGCAAAACTATAATAATCCCATCAATACTTCTCTTAATATTTGAAACCAGTGCAATGTCCCTTGTCTCCAGTAACAGTGCCAAGAGAATTCAAGATCATTTTCTCTCATTTACATTTTTAATTTATGTTGAAAATGGGATGCATGTTAGTCACAGTAAGTAGCATTTTATTAGTGAAAAAGAAAGCTTCGATTTTTTTCTAAGTCTGAAGAGTCTAAATATTACACAATGTTCCTGCTTAATCCATAATCCTTTACAAACCCACTCCAGCTTTTTGTCATATCATTTCCACCCCCCGTCCTCATTAAGAGGAGGATCTCTCTAGAGGCAGGCGGAGTGTTGGAGTTAGAGGACAGTGTTATGGGAGGGTCTGGTAAGGGCAGAGGGATTATGGTGATGGTGATGGGGGATGATGGCGGTGGTGATTCCCTAGCTGTTGTTCCAGGCTGCAGGCTCCCCATCTCGGGTACAGGACTACGGGGCCACAGCACCCAGCAACCCCCAGGAGCAGCAGTCCTGACACTAACCTCACTAAAACCCAAACACACACCTGCCAAGGTAGGGGCATCAAGTCTTTGAGGTTATATCACACAAGAAAAATGCTGCAGCTGTACAGTACTGTACAAAATGCAATCATAAAGAGCACTGGTATTGGTGATGTGTTGAGATCTCCCATTGGAAGATGAACACATCAAACAATTAATTTACTAAATATTTTCAAAATACTGTAGTCTATAACCCACCTCAATAAGGTGAAAGGTCTTAAACAAAGACATGGCACTTGCTATTTCTTCCAAGTGAAAATAGCAATAACGAGGATTGAGATGCCTTGTGGGATTAGCCAAAACAGATTACAGGGATTGGTAAAGCATTAGGGTCCAAGCAGGTTTGGGAGTTAATATCTGGACAAGGTATTTTCTGTCAGCTAAGCAGTGAGTAAGGCACTAAAGTACTGTAAAACCTTGATGGAAATAAAGTGTTCATGCAAAATCTTTGTTGAAGTATGTCGCTTGCTGCTTGAGTGTAATATTAGAGCTTTTAACTATTTGTGCTTCAGTTGATCATCCTTCTCAAAGCAAAGCCCTACTATATGAGCTCATTGGAAAAATAATCACCCTTTTGTTTATTGTGTAGCACTGACCTTTTCACTTCCAGTTCAGTTTTTTAAGTGAAGCTAATAAACCCGAGAGGAAATGTTTTGGTACCTTACAAAAACGGTCAGGGGATCAATCGTCTGTTTCTGTCTTCCAGAGAAATATGATTATTACCTTTAAAGTGTATACATTACCTGTAAAATGTGGATTTATGTGCTTCTTGCATGAAACACATATTGTTTTGATGACAGCAATACTCGTATATTCTAGTATAACCAAGTTACGCAAATGCCTGTTTGTGTCTTATTTATGCTTCATTTATGAATATGTAAGAAATAATCAATGAGGGGCTATGCGTTGTATGGAAAATAATGAACGATGTGGAAGGTGTGTTCCATGACGCGCTAGAAGAGTGGAACTAACCTTCCACGGAGTTGCATTATTTTCCAGAGAATGAGTTCCAAGTTGATTATCTCCTTTATGCCATGGCTATCATTTCTTTTTCCAGTAGAAATGTGTTCAACATCCACTGAAGTAGCTTTACTAGAACCAAACAAACAGACATGCTAGTTTAGCTAACCAAACCATCAGTCCTAGCTTGCTATTATGAAAATAGAATTCAACAATACCAATACTGTTTTTAATTCAACTTTTGCTTTCAAAAGCATGTAAAAATGAACTATAGCCATGCAAATATACCGTGCGTTCTAGGGAAATAATGCATGCTCTAGAATGTCCTTCAAGCCAGTCAGTAAGGAGTGTTCAACAATGCCATGGTATAATGAGACCCAATAAGAAGATGTTCTGTTGTTTGTAAGCTCCACCTCAATTGAAATAACACAATTTAAAGTTTTAACGTAGTAACAATACATAATATAATATTGGAACATCATGAGGAAAATTTCTAATAGTAATGTTTTGATTTAACAGAAACAGGCAGGTCACCCACAGGAAGGCCTCTCACCGCCAGCTACACTGAAGGAGGTCAAGGTATAAGGAGGAAATCCAGTTGGACAAGTGTGAAAAGAAAGAAATCCCATCACACACTGACACAGACACATGGTCAAAAACAACCAAAAGATTTACACACGCATACATTTACAAACAGGAACACATGCATACACTAAAAAGTAAGCTGTTTTCCATTTACAACTGTGAAGGTGAGCACATGACAAGTGATTAATTTGGATGAACATGTAATTAATGTACATAATTGAAACTATGACATGGTGGCCTTGGAGGAGGAGGCCTCTCTGAGGAAGTCATAGCCCAGGAATGTGTAGAGTCCGAGGTATGGACACCCTGCTCTGGCTTTAGTTCCAGTGACCGCTATTACTACTGCCCAACATAACAGTCTCCCCAGATCAACTCAAACCATGTAGAGAGGAACACACACAGTATATTACTCATCAGAAGATAACTGGTTTGATTATCAAGCACAACCAAGGGTATTTCAAGTTTTTTGTGCTGATAATTCATATTTAACTGTCACTTTTTCAGAGTACACTATGAATGGTTAATATTTTCATTTTGTTTCTCTAGCTTTAAATACCTCCAATCTAAATATTATAAATGTTGTCTGTGCATTCTGATATGAGCAATATTCAAACTGTGCTTTTTATTTCCTGACATTTGACCAATACCATTATGGAACAGAAAATATTAATGTAACTGTTCTATTTTTTGAATTTGTTAACGTTAGTTAAAATTAGACTACAGATTCAGTGGTTTCAGTTGAATGGCAGTCTGTTCAGAGGGCCGATCCAGTCAAGCCAACTCACCTAGTGGCTTAACAGGATTTTGAGATTGCCATCTGCCATATAGGATTACAAGGAATATGGTTGATACTGTGCATCTGAGTATGTCTTGGAAGGTCTGAACCTCTTTAACCACATTCTTAGAACAGAAGTCAGAAACTTTGGGACTATTGTACTTAATATTTCTCTGCATTGACTTGTTTAAGAGCCTTTAAAGGAACACTATGATAACAGAATGTGAGCACAAAATATTTAGCGTGGAGAGAGACAATCTAATGGACTTTTTGGAAATAGGCTAGTGTTGTATTTTCTAATGTATATGATTCTCTTGACCTGTATTTATGTTACTGAGAAACCTCTTTCATCTGCTTATTTGACTTGATGTGTTGCGGTTAGAAGTTGTCCAGTGATGTTTATTTTTTAATGATTCTGTAATCTTATAAGTGTATCACTCCAATGATACAGTATATGTTTTGTAGGATCATTGTATCTACATCAAATGGTGATGCAATTTTTAAATGCTTGTCATACTCAGTAATGAAGAACATAAGAAACTGTTTGTAGACGTTGCTTGGACAAATTCTCTCAGATACTGTGAACAATTGTACCTGGTAATCTGGTGAACTAAAATTTTAAAAATAAAATGAGAAAAATGCTCTCTTAATTTATTAATGGACGTGTTACACCGCAGACACAATCCAGTAACATACTGAAATCACTCACTATCACTGATCAGTTTAGAAAGCAAGACAAAGGCCCAATGTTGAGATCATCCATTAAAGTACTGTGAATGACAGTCTCCCAAACTGCTCATTTACATAAAATATGTTGAAATCCAGTCATAAACCATACCACACAATCAAACCATATTAATACACATAACAAAATCACTGTACATTTTTGCATCATTATTGTATTGTACATCATTAAACATTGATAGACAATCACTGTTCAATTTTCAGTGTAAGAGTGAAACAGCTGTAGCCATAAAAACCATATTATAAACTGGGTGGTTAGACCCCTGAATGCTGATTGGCTGACAGCCGTGTTATATCAGACCGTATACCACGGGTATGACAAAACATTTATTTTCACTGCTCTAATTATGTTGGTAACCAGTTTATTATAGAAATAAGGCACCTCTGGGGTTTGTGGTATATGGCCAATATACCACGGCGAAGGTCTGTGTCCAGGCACTCCGCGATGCGTGGTGCCTAAGAACAGCCCTTAGCTGTGGTATATTGGCCATATACCACACCCCCTCGTGCCTTATTGCTTAAGTATATTGTAGCACATGTACAGATCACATAGCACAGGTATGAGTCACCTGCAAAATAAATCCCACTTATTGTATAGCCCCTCTTAAAAGTTTACACATATTGGACTCATCTTTGTGTCCATACAGTATAGTAAATAGGCCACTCATTCTTCAAGGCAAGAAGCAGTAGACTATCCCACAGCTCTCTCTAGTGGTGGGCTAAACCGTTTTCTGCTGCTTGGAATCAGTTCCGCTTCTTCTGCCGTGCACCCACCTCCTCCTGAGGCTCTGGAACACACTGGAACCCAATCAGCATTCCCACGATAGAGAAACCTGGAGAGGTGAGATGATGCAATGGGTTTACTCTGCAATAACAGACACCAGCAGCACAAGCTCTGAGCAAGTTACATCAGATGAAAAATAGAGTTGAGCGATGCACCTTATGTACCTGGTAGTTTCATTTGCTAACACTGTTGTTAATGATTTTAACAAACCAAGCTTACTATTTGATCAGATGGGATTATAGAGCTGCAGTACTTACTCGCCACAATGAGAGGTGCCATAACGCCAATGGTCAGAGGTGCCGTTTTGTAGATGAAGGCTTCAGACAGGAAGTGTCCCAGAGCCAGTACAAATGTCCAAAGGGTGATGTGATAGAGCCTACATGAAGAGGAGACAAAAACTATTTAAGATAACTCCCACAGAACACAAATCACAGTTTATGCACTCACTGTTGCATGAACAGACAACAGTGCAGGGATGCAGGAAACCTTACGTTTTGTTCTGAATGTCGATGGCGCACGTGCAGCGGATAATTGAAGACAACAATGTCCAGATTCCAAATGTTCTTGCTTGGAGGCCATTTACTGTAAAAAGGAAGCAGAACCTAAATGAAGTTCTCTGAATTCCTTGCACCTTGGAGGAGACTGAGCATACTGCTGTTGTAAAGCTCCTTTGGTGTAGACAAATCAATGTGTAACCCAGTCTTATACACAGGCATAATAACAACATCCTTCAGGTTGGAGCAAAATCCTGCACTAACACCGGCGCATGCAGGGTAAGATCTGCCATGGCCTGCTTTAGAGAGAAAGTTACAATCCCGTGTAGAAACTACTCACCAAAATATGGTGTCCCCGTGTAGAGTTTCTCAGAGAGGAAGCTGTGATCTCTGAAACTCTGGACAGTGTTTCCCATGGCAATGACAGACACCATGACCAACCAACTCCGCAGAACATTCAGAAAACGACTCATCCTTGCCTTCTGTGGGATGCACCTGCCAGACACGTTGGCTGAGAGTAAGAGGCAGACAGCATAGCAGTTTGCAAAAACTAACAACAAAATAACAGCTTAATTCTGCTTGTTACAGCTCAGATGAATGCTACCTGTCAGGTTGCAATAACCACCTTGATCAAAGGTAGCTAACGTTAGCTAGCTAGTTAGCTACAACAGCAACCATCATTGCTAGCTCGATAAAAACAAAATAATGTATGTGTCTAACTTACCTTCTAAAGTGTAGTTTATACCTGGAGCATACCCAGATTCGACAGTGATCAGCGAGTCGAAATCAATAGGCATACAATGTCAACATGTCTGCAAAAACATCGCTAATGTTTGGAGATTGAGAATATCCTGTGAGTGTCGTTCAATAACTAGCTGATATGGACATTCAATTTGGCCAATTATAGAGCTCAGAAGATGGCTTCATCAAATCGTCCCATTCATCTCAATGGGTCGTTCGACTGGTAACGTGCTTTTAGGTTCCGCCTTATTTCGCTCATTCCACCAATCATTCCAACACAAACCACAGTTGCGAATGTGGGCGCGATTGATTTAGCTCTCCTGGGGCACCGGGCCCCAGCAGACAGAGTGGCGACGATTTACATTCCTACTATAAAAATTAAAACACCAAACATCTGTTAAATTACTTTATCAATTGTTTTAATACTATGCTAGACAATGTAATTAGGCCTGAATGTTCCAAAGCATTCCCTGTGTGACATTCTCTGACCATATGCACCGATTCAGTAGTACATTGCAAACATTGGAATGCACAAATCTGTTTTTTTTCCCTCAATAAAAACATTGTAATTCTTATTTTATGATGCAGATTTGGAAGGTATAATAATCCATCACAAATTGGAAATTGTGGGGCCAAAAACGTCACGTGCTTGAGGACAGTGCGCATGCTCTCTCCATTGGTTGCCAGTCAGTTGTTGTAGTTACAAATAGGCTAGCTACAGGAATACTTTTCATGATGGCTAGCTAGCTACCTAACTGTGGTTCTTCGAATACAGAAGTTTATCCTATGCGGAAGAGTTGGGTATGTTTATATGGTAGTTTTACAGCTGTCATGATTTATAACCTGAATGTTAGCTTGCTCTCTCAATGAAACATATAGTTTTTATTACAAAACACAGTAAAGCTAGCTAGCTAACGTGCCAATCTGGTTACCTAATTTAGCTAGCTAACCAATCTCAGACACTTTATGCAACATCTATCTGGCTGGTATCATGAGTTAGTAATATCTATGTAACATAGCTAGCGTTAGCTGTAATAGCAACACACACAATATTTTACATTTTCAGGGCTAGGTGTTTGACGGTCTTATTGATTCAGCTTGTTGCTGGGCAGTGCTAATATGGACTCAATAATGTATGCATGGTATTATTGATATATAATTCCTCTCAATTGCAGACAGCAGTGTATTCTTCAGTATGACAATGCTGTGTTTTAACTGGACTGATATTTCAACAGTAGATGGTGAGAGCTGGAGATGCCCACAGTCATAACCCCAGATACCTGACTCAAAGCAGATTTCGTCAGGAGGTACTTCCCCCTTCACTGTGGTGGAAATGCCAACTGTGATCCGGGATAAAGAGGATTCAGAGTCCTCCTCAGAGGACGAGCGAGAGTAAGTGGCTGTTCTGATTAAGTGTTTCTAATGGGTTTGTTACATTTCCTTCTAGTTGTAGAAAGTAACACAGAAAAATACACAGATCAATGTTTAAACTCATTGCAACCACAGATATCCTATTAAATTCTAATAGTTATAATATGTAATTATATGCAACAATAATAAACACTGTAAGAATAGCTTTAGCTAAGTGCAGATCCCTGTATAAATATACTGAATAAAGCGTCAATAAGTGGTTAAACATAGTTCACTAGAACTTACCGTGCAATCTAAATTAAGCCTGGCTTATTTGGTGTCTTTAAATGTGATCAATTTGGCACTTAAATAGCCTGGCACCTCCAGTATGTCCTTAAATAGAACATGTACTACCACAGTAGAAGAGGCCAAGAAGTTCACGGTCTAGTCTTAATCTAGTCCTGAATTCAAATTTCATTACGCTACTAAACTCTTTGGCAACTAATTAGTCTGCGAATGCACCTTAGATCATTCTCATACAGTTGTAATGTAATCTGTTAAAGATGTATAGGGATGTGGGTTCGTTTCCCACGGGGGGCCAGTATAAAAAAAAAAAAGAACACATGTATGTATGCATTCACTAACTGTAAGTCGCTCTGGATAAGAGCGTCTGCTAAATGACTAAAATGTAAATGTATAGAATAGTCCTGTCTCAGACCTGGTCAACAGATACTACAATTAATTATTTATGTCAAGTGTCTTGAGTACCAGACAAATCTCCCTCAAGACATGCAATAGGCCTACCTTATTAGGCACTGCTTGCTTAATATTGTGACTTGAGCCTATATTGGGTAGATATTGGTTTATTACTGGTGGTGATGCTGCAGGGCACTAGCCTAACTATTACATTTCATGAAAGTTCACTACTCTAGTGGCACATGATTTCTAGCAGCACAGCTACTATAACTTTATCATAGTAGTCCATATGTTTATTACAGATACATTACCATAGCTTGCAAGATCTTTGCAAGATTCTTGCATGGTCTGAGTGTAGACTTGGTTTAACAAGCATTACTAGACTAGAGCTTGTGCTGGCCACTGGCGTGTGTTGAGTGACTATTGAAATGACTCTGGAGCTATAGATATCATAATAGATGGGAGATTCAGTTTTGTCTGACATGTCTGAATACCTGAGCCAGGAGCAGGTATTGTTTACTACCGCGCCCAACATTACGGTTGAAGTCTGAAGTTTACATACACTTAGGTTGGAGTCATTAAAACTCGTTTTTCAACCCCTCCACAAATGTCTTGTTAACAAACTATAATTTTGGCAAGTCGGTTAGGACATCTACTTTGTCCATGACACAAGTAATTATTTCACTTTATAATTCACTGTATCACAATTTCAGTGTGCCTTTAAACAGCTTAGAAAGTTCCAGAAAATGATATCATGGCTTTAGAAGCCTGATAGGCTAATTGACATAATTTGAGTCAATTGGAGGTGTACCTGTGGATTTATTTCAAGGCCTACCTTCAAACTCAGTGCCTCTTTGCTTGACATCATGGGAAAATCAAAATAAATCAGCCAAGACCTCAGAAAGAAAACTGTAGACCTCCATAAATCTGGTTCATCCTTGGGAGTAATTTCCAAACACCTGAAGGTACCACGTTCATCTGTACAAACAATAGTATGCAAGTATAAACACCATGGGACCACGCAGCCGTCATACCGCTCAGGAAGGAGACGCGTTCTGTCTCCTAGAGATGAACGTACTTTGGTGCAAAAAGTGCAAATCAATCCCAGAACAACAGCAAAGGACCTTGTGAAGATGCTGGAGGAAACAGGTACAAAAGTATCTATATCCACAGTAAAACGAGTCCTATATCGACATAACCTGAAAGGCTGCTCAGCAAGGAAGAAGCCACTGCTCCAAAGCGCCATAAAAAAGCCAGACTACGGTTTGCAACTGCACATGGGGACAAAGATTGTACTTTTTGGAGAAATGTCCTCTGGTCTGATAAAACAAAAATAGAACTGTTTGGCCTTAATGACCATTGTTATGTTTGGAGGAAAAAGGGGAAGGCTTGCAAGCCGAAGAACACCATCCCAACCGTGAAGCACGGGGGTGGCAGCATCATGCTGTGGGGGTGCTTTGCTGCAGGAGGGACTGGTGCACTTCACAAAATAGATGGCATCATGAGGAAGGAAAATTATGTGGATATATTGAAGCAACATCTCAAGACATCAGTCAGGAAGTTAAAGCTTGGTCGCAAATGGGTCATCCAAATGGACAATGACCCCAAGCATACTTCCAAAGTTGTGGCAAAATGGCTTAAGGACAACAAATTCAAGGTATTGGAGTGGCTATCACAAAGCCCTGACCTCAATCCTATAGAAAATGTGTGGGCAGAACTGAAAAAGCATGTGCGAGCAAGGAGGCCTACAAACCTGACTCAGTTACGCCAGCTCTGTCAGGAGGAATGGGCCAAAATTCACCCAACTTATTGTGGGAAGCTTGTGGAAGGCTACGTTTGACCCAAGTTAAACAATTTTAAAGGCAATGCTACCAAATACTAATTGAGTGTATGTAAACTTCTGACCCACTGGGAATGTGATGAAAGAAATTAAAGCTTAAATAAATCATTCTCTACTATTATTCTGACATTTCACGTTTTTTAAATAAAGTGGTGATCCTAACTGACCTAAAACAGGGAATTTTTACTAGGATTAAATGTCAGGAATTGTGAAAAACTGAGTTTAAATGTATTTGGCTAAGGTGTATGTAAACTTCCGACTTCAACTGTATCTAGAATGGTCAAGTCTGATAGAGTTCTTCTCCCACAGCATGCCATCTTAAGTGTGGATTTACATTAGTAACATTTGTGTAGTAAGATATATCTCTCTTCAACATCAGATTTGTAACTTTTCTGTTTACACTACTCTTACTTTAGCCTTGGATGTGGTGTGACCAAAGCCACATTCCTGCTTCGTGTGTATGTGTGTGTACCTATTAGCATACAATAGTATATAGACAAACAAAATAAAGATAGCAATTCAAACTATACAGGAGTTTCTCATCTAAACCATATTGCTCATAATGTTGCACACTTGATTAATGCAACGATTCAGAAATGTGTGGATATTTTAATAGCCTTTTATTTTTTATTTATTATTTTCGTTACACTATAACACTCAGTGTGGGAGACATCTACACCACTATCTCCGGCGGTAGTGTGAGAGACATCTCTCAGAGATTTGAATCTAGAGCCGACTCTTTACACTACAAAAATATATTTCCTGGGACTAGTATGTGTCGTGTAAAGAGGCCCTTATCTCCACCATGATCACAGATAGGTTGGCTGTGTCTGGTACTATCAGATATTTTCAGTGCAATGTTACCAGAGTGTTTGTTACTTGACAGGTTTGTTATTGTTCAGTATCCATGAGACTGTGTGTGGCTCGACCACTCTCTGCTCCGCTAATGTAAACACCTTGTCAGATTGCATTCCACCACCCTAAGGTAAGCTAAGGGTAGCATCATCCAGGATTCTAAACTCAACATTAAGAGACATTAAAGACATCTTGGAAAGCTTTAGGCTAATGGTATGTTGTGTTTGAGATGCTCTTCTCTCTGATTTAGGTTCTTGTTTTATTGGACTTTATATGGCTATTTTGTCACCCATATATCCAATTTTTTGGGGCTTATAATAGAAACTCTACTCTTGAGTAGCTTGATCCTGCATGACCCTCTCAATGTAAGAATAAGAAGAATACTTTATT